ACTTGTGTGTGTAAGGATTGTCCCACAAAACTTGTGTGTGTAAGGATGTCCCACAAAACTTGTGTGTGTAAGGATTGTCCCACAAAACTTGTGTGTGTAAGGATTGTCCCACAAAACTTGTGTGTGTAAGGATGTCCCACATGACTGCGTTGTATTCCCGGGTTGTTCGCGGGTTGTGCGTTCCTTGATGTTACAGGTGAACTCATGGTTGGTCACCTTTCACCTCTTTCCCTGCTGCTTACACAAGTTTTTCTCTCCCTTGACCCACTGCCCTGTGTATCCGGCTCTCCTTCTCTTTCTCGGCCTGGCTTTCCTTCTCCCTCACGCGCACTCATATGACCTTATGCAGTTGTGAGCGCTGTAAAACCGTAACTAAAACTAAACGAAGTACTTACTTGACAGATAGCCTTGATTGCTCCTGGACTTGTAGCTTTTGCTACCTGGTGTTGATGTAGCCTGCTGCCTCTACTTGCTACTTCTAGGATGACGCAACTGACGATGATTCAGAGAACTATTTCCTATTTCTGCTCCGTGAATGGAAGATTTGACAAACATATGAGAGATCATGTGAACAGTTTCACGACAAAACATGTGAGAGATCATGTGAACAGTTTCACGACAAAACATTTGAGAGATCATGTGAACAGTTTCACGACAAAACAAGACAGATATGTGCTTGCTTTTTCACACAAGGGGGCTATCCCGAAAAATGCTGTTTTGAGAAAATCGTAGGTAAAGTTTGTGCCCCTTGTTCAGTTTCTTTAAAGACAAGGAGAGTTTTCTCTATAACCAAACAAATATACACACCAATGAAACCAAACTTCTCCTATAGGTAGGCCAATGCCCACTTTTGGTGTTGGTCAAGGTTTCTGGAAACCTCCAAAATCTGGGTTAGCCACTTGTCCTTAAAAACGACCATATTATCCCCAAGTGAAAAAAACCTTCCTTTGTCGGCTACATGGCGACCATATGACGGGGGCTAGAGGCTCTGTGTGCTCTCAATTCTTTCACGTTCTGGAACCTTCTAGATCATGTTTTGGAGCTGGAACTTTTAGTAGTTCAGGAGCCTGAACCTTCTAGATCATGTTTTGGAGCTGGAACTTTTAGTAGTTCAGGAGCCTGAACCTTCTAGAACCGCCACGGAGCTGTCTCTACAACCAAACAAATATACACACCAGTGAAACCGAACTTCTCCTATAGGTAGGGTAATGCCCACTTTTGGTGTAGGTCAAGATTTCTGGAAACCCCCAAAATCTGGGTTAGCCCGCTTGTCCTTAAAAGCGACCATTTTTTTTCTGGGTTGTTAGTATGTGGTGGGGGGGGGGGGGTGTTTCCCCAATGTCTGTGCTTTCGGAACAAAAATGATATATGGTCTAGTGTCGTCAACGGTGTGCAGAAATGTTTATGTTCGAATTGGCTGTTTCCATCATGTGAGAAATGGTAAGAAAATACATGGTTCATTTTTTACTGTTCATTGTTCATCATTCATCGTTCATCGTTCATTGTTCATTGTTCATCTTTCATCATTCATCATTCATTGTTCAGTGTGTGTGGAAGGAAAACTGAGGGACCAGAATGTCTGTGGGCTGTGTGTGACTGGACTAGTTGTGTGTCTATATTATATGTGTGTGTGTATGTGTGTGATATGTGTGTGTGTGTGATATGTGTGTGTGTGTATGTGTGTGTCTATATTATATGTGTGTGTGTGTGTGTGTGTGTGTGATATGTGTGTGTGTGTATATGTGTGTGTCTATATTATATGTGTGTGTATGTATGTGATATGTGTGTATGTGATATATGTGTGTGTGTGTGATATGTGTGTGTGTGTGTGTGTGATATGTGTGTGTGTGTGTGTGTGATGTGTGTGTGTATGTGATGTGTATGTGATGTGTGTATGTGATGTGTATGTGATATGTGTGTGTGTGTGTGTGTGTATATATGTGTGTGTGTATGTGATATGTGTGTGTGTGTGTGATATGTGTGTGTATGTGATATGTGTGTGTGTATGTGATATGTGTGTGTGTGTGATATGTGTGTGTATATTATATGTGTGTGTGTGTGTGTGTGATATCTGTGTGTGTGTGTGTATGTGATGATATGTGTGTGTGTGTGTGATATGTGTGTGTGTGTGTGTGATATGTGTGTGTGTATGTGATGTGTGTGTGTGTGTGATATGTGTGTGTGTGTGTGTATGTGATATGTGTGTGTGTGTATGTGATATGTGTGTGTGTGTGTATGTGATATGTGTGTGTATGTGATATGTCTGTGTATGTGATATGTCTGTGTATGTGATATGTATGTGTGTGTGTGTGTATGTGATATGTGTGTGTGTGTGATATGTGTATATATGTATGTGTGTGTGTATGTGATATGTGTGTGTATGTGATATGTGTGTATGTGATATGTGTGTGTGTGTGTATGTGATATGTGTGTGTGTGTGTATGTGATATGTGTGTGT